GTCTTTTAAAAGTCAGTTTGTGAAGCTGGGAGGAATTTATAACTCGTGTTTTTCATTATTCAGTGATGTTTTCTAGACAAAAGTATTGTTTCAAGAGATAACCTGTAGTCTCATCAGTTTTACCAGCATTCTGTGCCACATATTTGGTATTTAATGAAGGGAAAAACAACCTGTGATGTTTGACAGATGAACATCCAGGTGTTTTATTTATTTTATTTTATCTGAACTGTTAACAGTGGAAACAGACGAGCTTTAACCGTCTCCTGTAGTCGTCTTTGTTCAGCACAAAGAGGAATTACGTGAATAAAAACTGAACATCAGGCGATCTTCAGGGGTCGCAATTTTCATTTTAGTGTGAAAACAGTGTTTTTTTTCTTCATTAAATTAAATTTTAGTATAATTATTTCATTAATAAATAATTAAAGCAGTAATTCACAATCATAGTTTCCAGATAAAGTCTCTCTGAACTCAAAGACGTTCACATCACAGTTACATAAAGGAGAGAGAAGCAGCGAACTCTCCGTCTATCAACACACTGACTGTCGCTGTTCGTTCCAGCCGTCCGATGAAGACAGCCTGAGCCTGAACGTGCCGATGAGCAACATCACCGAGGAGGAAGGAATCAGCAAAGACGACTCCAGCGAACACATCAGCTCGCTCACAGGTACGTTCAGCTCAGACCGTCAGCGTTTCGCTGGCGTTGTCTTGATCATACACACCTCGAGTCTGGTGTGCATCAGGCTGTAGACGAGGACGAACAAGTCAGACGACGAGCGGTAGATCAGCTGCAGTACCTGGTTGCACCACCAGGTGGAGACTCTTACCGGTTAATGACAACCAGCGGACTTTGAAAGGTTCTGCTTTGTGGATGTTCTCACTGACAACAGACACCATGACAGAGACTAGTGTGATGCTTCATGACCTCCGACCAGAACTAACGGGATCGACTGTACAGCCCGAATTATGTGTTGGTCAGCAAATGTCAACAAGGTCAAAGAAAATGATTCTACGTACTCGTCCTTATCGTCCTGCCTCTAACTTTGCTTTCACTCTACGACACCTGTGTGAGAACAGATGTTAGTAAAGATCGTTTGTTGAATAAAGTCGACACCAGTTTGTTAAAATGCNTAGCAGTCAGATCATGTAGGTGGTGTTCTGTTGAATAAAAAGATCACAAACATGGGTATGTACACATGTTTCTATGTGGTGAATGAAGACAAAACTAAAAAACAAAATAGGCCAGAATAGACGTGTAAGGGTTAAATTCATCACTTTGACCTAAAAAAGAAGCACCCTGCCCCCTCCTCTCATAAATCTGCCTTTCAAAATAAAACACTTAGCAGCTGCTAGAAAAGCAGGAAGTCAGGATTTGGCTCATCGGTGTGAACCAGAGGGAGGGAGGTGGACTCTCTCTCTCTCTCTGGTTCAGTGAGGCTGTGTCGCTCGCCCACACACACACACACGTGCACGTACAGAGGAGGTGTGTGTGTGTGTGTGTGTGTGTGTGTGTGTGTGCGTCAGGTGTGTAACGTGTGCTTTGTGTGTGCAGCGTGGAGGACATGGAGCAGCAGAAGAAGCAGGACAGCGACTCGGGAGTCGGCAGCGACAACGGAGACAAGAGGCTGTCGGCCACCGAGGTGTGTGTTCATGTGTGTGTTCATGTGTGAGTTCATGTGTGTGTTCATGTGTGTGTTCGTGTGTGTGTGTCTCTGTGTGTGGTTGTGTATCACGTCCACGTCTCGTCTGGTTTCATGAGTGTGTCCTCCGTGCTCTTCCTCTCGCCTGCCTTCATCTTCTCCAGACGGAGCCTCACGGTTTGACTCTCGTCTTCTACCTTCTCCTAGTTCAGCTGTAGAACGTCTGCTTGTTGTGTTCTGCTCAGAACTCCTTCGGGTTCTCTTTAGACCCGTTTTCACTCGTCTGCATCCTTTCATGTATTAGAATTAGAATTATTTTGACGCTGTTCTTTCTAGAAGGCTGGTTTAGAAGTCGCTCGCTGGTTCTGCTGTTCTTTGATTTTCTTTGGACTCGTTTGTCGTCAGAGCTGCAGGTTCTAATTTTATCATCAG